AGAGGGAGTGTTCGCCCAGGGCGCCAAACAGGCTAGGACCGCCACTGTTCACAGCTGCCTTAATTCTTCTTGGCATAGACTCAACGCGGTACTAGAAACATTCCTCAGATATTTTAACCCAGAATGTTATGATAGCGTCAGACAGTTGCTGCAGATTTGTCAGCTGTGCATCCATGTTGGAAATCTACCTGTTCTAATATACCCCAAAGGAACACTCTTGGACTGAGATCTGGTGACTATGTAGGCCATTGGGTACAGTGAATTCAATGTTCAAGAAACCAATTGGAGATGATTTGAGCTTTGTGACTTGGTGTTTTATTCTGCTGGAAGCAGTCATCAGAAGATGGGAACAGTGTGGCCATAAAGGGATGAACATGGTCAGCACCACTCAAGTAGGCTGTGGTATTTAAGCAATGATCAGTTGGTACTAAGGGGACCAAAGTGTGCCAAGGAAACATCCCCCACAAAATTACACCAACACCACCAGACAGGATGGGTCCGAGCTTTTAAGACGTTTATACTATATTCTGCACCTACTATCAGAATGTCGCAGGAGGAATCATGACTCTTCAGACCAGGCAACACTTTTCCAAATGTCTGTTGTCCAATGTTGGTGAACCTGTTTGTATTGTATCCTCGGTTTTCTGTTCTTAGATGACAGGAGCGGCACATGGTGTGGTCTACTGCTGCTGGAGACCAGCTGCCTCAAGATTCATCGTGTTGCTGCTCTTCTGCAGACCATGGCTGCAACGAGTGGTTGTTTGAGTTGCTGTTGCCTTCCCATCAGCTTTAAACAGTCTTCCCATTCTCATCTGACCCCTGACATAAAAGAGAACTAGATAGCTTGCCTTTTCTAGACCGTTCTCTGTAAACCCCAGAGATGTTTGTGTGGCAAAGTCCCAGTAGATCAGCAGTTTCTGACCAGCCAGCCTGGCATCAACAACCATGCCACGTTCTAACTCACTTAAATCACCTTTCTTGCCTTTTCTTATGCTCAGTTTGAACTTCAGCAGGTGTCTGACTATGTTTGCTAGCCTAAGTTAAGCTGCTGCCCTGTGATTGACTGATTCGATATTTGTGTTTACAAGCAGTTGAACAGTTGTAGCTACCACTATGGCTGGTGGGTATAAAGATACGTATCATGCAAACTAATTATAGTTGCTAATTTTTGTTATATTGATATATAATACCAATCCATCCCATTACTATCCAGCCCTGCCTGGCTTTGTCAAAAAAAAGTAACAGTAAGATAATAACCACAAATCAGCACTGAGTAACAATTTCTTTAATCAGTAGAAAAGATGAGAAATTCAGATTAGGTCCAGGCATAATCAAGGGGTTTAATTTTTTGCTTTGCCCATCCACATGTGTGGATTTTACTAAGAGCATTATGTATCCTCTGTCTCTTCATCCATCAAGGATAAGCAACTTAATGAAGGGTGCAAGCCACTGTGCTTGACACCCCTCTATAATCAGTACCTATTTGAAATTCCACGTAAGTGTGTATACTGACGATACTTTTGGGCCATTACAAATTCTTTGCTTTTAAGTTGAGAAGGGACTCGATCGGTGACTGGTTAACAGAGGCTTCAGTTGGTTTAAAACAAGCATGCCTGGTATTTTACATTTTGAAGAGACTGCTCCTGAGGACAATTCCTCTGACACTGGGCGATATTGTTAGTTTCCTATATCCATTGGATGATATAAGTATTGTGTTTGGAACAACTGTAATCCACCAAGTATCTCCAATAATGTGTTATAAATAACCCTGAGACCCTCCTCTGTTGTGTGTGTGTGTGTATGAGAGCGAGAGAGACAGACTCTGTATGGTTATGGGTAGGAAAACTCCAGTGGATGAGATTGTGGAAAATAACACACTCTATTGGTTGTTTAGTTGGTGTGTGACATCAGTCGGTGTGTATGTGAACCATGGGCGGTCCACTGAGGTTGGCTACTTTAGGAGCAGGCCGTGCCCCTGGCAACAGCAGAAAACTGGACAACAGCAAGAAACAGATGATACGGGGAGAACTGCTGCAATCGAGACATTTCCAAGAAGAAGAAACACTTCTCTTGGAGGGCAAGGCGAGGAGCGGACGATAACATTTGCTTTCTCTTTGTCCTGTTCATAGTGCGATCACAGCCAAGCAATCAAGGTAACAGCGACTGCGACTGGGTCTGGCTTTGTGCTATTGTCCTCAGCAAAGCCTCAGTTTTGCCAGTTTTATCTAAGCTATTAATGGCACATATCAAAACAGCCCAACTTCTAAATGTATAGAACATGTTTAACCTGATTTATTAGTGTATTAGGGTGTGTGCTTTGTGTGTGTTTCTGCCCCATGCTAATATGAGGGGATGTTGTTGTCCTTTTCTTTGCTGACCTTTGGTGACTGTAAACAGTAACTCAGCAGAGAAGTCACTGATCCCTCTAACCTGTTGTAACAGGGACTGCATAAACCAGCACAGAGCATGTGCACCATTGCGTATTGCATTTTTGTCTACACTTTAACAACTGAAACGCAGTTTCTTTTTCCTACCTCTGTCTTAAAAATTTCCAGCAACCAACCTCTCCTCGACTGGCTCACCTATCCTCTCCATCCAGCACGCTGCCATGGATCGCTCGGTGCAGGAGCTGTTCCTCAACTTCATGATCGTCTTAATCACTGTGCTGCTGATGTGGTTGCTGGTGAAATCTTACCAGGACTAAAAAATTAAGCAATGAGAGAGGACACGGACGTGAGGCGGAGGGGATGGAGAGACACGTGCGTCGGGTTATCGGAAGACTTGGCTGCTGGCTAAATTTTATAATACAGTGTTTACACCTACAGCTCTGCTTATTCATGTGAGGTCAACAATAAGTGGTTACTATAGCCAGGACAAACTATGAAGGATAAAATAGTTCAGAATCTGTATTTTTAGTGTTTTTGTTTAGTTTTTTTGAATAAGGCCATGAATGTGAAATCACAGCATAGTGGTCAGGGTTAATAAATAAGAATAAAATTGTTGAAAACCCAAATGGGATGGCTTGAAAACTCTAAAAAAAATGCAATGTCACTATAAACAGGAGTGCATACCATAGTCTGTATGTCTAAGTGCCCAACACATTTAACAATGCTGTTGTGTCCAATCTTTCAGTTTTTTTGTCAAAGGGATGAACACGACAAACTCATAAAACAAGACAACACAACTGTTGAAGCATTATGTTTATGATCACTTCTTAACATTAAACAGTCTTTCATTTGTTTAGCTTCTGTTTCTCAGCACAAACTTGCCATGCAGTCATGATTCACACCCACATTTGCTCTTTGCAGGTTTGTTAAACTTTAATCTATACTATCCTTTTGAAGCTACAGAGTGTTTCTCTATGACTGATAAAGTGCACATGAAAAACTGTTGTGTACACCCGGAGAGGAGAACCAGAACATGCATGGACACATGGCAATGTAGTAACAGAATAAAGGCAAGCTGATTAAAGTGCATACTGACATGTGCTTTCAAAAGTTGCCCTGTTGACTGATTTTCCCCTTTAAAGTAAAAGCAAGAGAGGCTTGCCTCCTAGAGGCTCTCTGTGGCATAATTTGTGTATTCCTGCCAAAAAAAATCTAAATCAAAATCCCCAAATTCAGAAAAATGAAAGAAGTCTGAATTCCTGAACAGAGTCTGTAGCTGCAAGAAGGCTGGTAAGTTTACAGAACATGCTAATTATTTATGTGGATTTTCTATCTGTAACATGCTGTCAAAAAAAATACTCGGATACTAAAATAGAATTCTAAAGGGGTCCTCCATGGGAGGGGCAATAATTAGAGTGACAGCAAAGCTCCTATGATGACAGGAGCTACGCACATACAATATAAAGATCAAACTTGACCCTAAATAAAAAAATAAATAGACTAGGTTAATGTGTTCACATATACTGATGATCTGTGACAGGAAATGTGGTGTCAGTTGCCTATCTTTGGCTACGATACTCTCTCAAAAGAGAGCTATGTTTCAAGAGTGTCTATTTGCTGGTTAAATACGGGAATAGCATTCTCTCTTGAAGTGTTAGCTGTCCGTCATGCACACAGTTTGGAAAGCCGAGGGAAGCTCATTCACACAGACATCAAACTTTCGCTTGCATGTTTGCTGCATGGGAGGGCATGTATGTGTTTGCCATCAGTTATGCTGTATCACCCCACGGGTCTCTATATCTGTTGAAGCTGATGAGCTGGCAGTGGAACTCTGTGAGTGCTTTGGGCATGGGTGCCACTTCCTCCCATTGACTCCTCCCACTGTAGTACACCTGCGTAGGTAGTAAGAAAGAAAACAGTAGACAGTTAAATTAGTAAAAACTAAGAATGCAGGTGTAGTCAGAAATTCACTCATCATAGGCATGAATATCATGGTAATTTGTGGTTTCAAATGATTTCTCTGAATTGTGCTTTTTCCAGACTGGAATGATTGTACACTATATACATGTTTATTAACTTTTTTTTTTTTAAGAAAATTTGGTTGCAGAACTTTAAATTTGTTTTTGTATTTTCTCCAATCCCTACAGGGTCAAGAGTATCCATACAGTTTTACTACCAGTGGTACTGGTATAGTGCAATAAGTAAAATGAAATGGAATAATGAAGGAGGAGGAAGACCTTCAAATTATTCAACATCACCTAAAATTAGCTGAGCTGAAACTTAAACACAATCGGTTTTTCCAACAGGACAATGATCCCAAACACATCAAAACTAGTTTTCGAATGGATAAAACAGGCTAACATTAAGCTTCCGGAATTACCTTCCCAAATCCCCAACTTCAACCCTATTGAAAATTTGTGGGTGATGCTGAAAAACCAGGTCTATGCCAAGAATCCAAGCAATTTAAATAAACTCTACTATTTCTGCAGAGAAGGCTGCTCAAATACCTGGAATTGTACCAGAAGCTTGTTGATGGCTACCAAAAGTGTCTGCAGCTTGCAAAAGTACATTTAACCAAATATTAGTATTATATTAGGATGTGTGCATGTTAATCCGTTGGGCATCTTTCTTTGCCTTTAGACAATAATTCTGATGGCAAAAGAACCAAACGGGACAGGTGGGGGGAAAAAAAGAATGCGTGTATGTATTTGAGCCTGTATGCATGCCTTTGACCCTGAGTGGATTGCAAAAAAATTCCCAAATAAATTCGAATTTCAAGTTTGAATTTAAAGCCATTAAAAACGCATGATTTACAATCATCCCGCTCTGGGGGAAAAAAGAGTTCAAAGAAATCACTAAAAGCCCAAAATCATCATGACATCCATGCCCATAAAGAGTCTGTAAACTTCTGTCTGGGTCTGGGTCAAAGGTAAAGGTTATTCAGTTCCTAGCAATATAAATGTGAGTTTTCTATCCTACCTGAACCTCATCAGTGATTTCATCAGGTGAATAGTCTCCGCCCAGAATGTAGATTCTGTCCCTCATGCCCACTGCTCCGGCATTGAACCCAGCGCATTCAAATGATCCTTCACCCTTCCAGACGCAGGTCTCTGGGCAAAAACTGTAGACCTGAAAAGAAAAAAAGGGACACTTTTACACAAGCTCAGTGTATTTTACCACAGAATTAAGCTTCAGAATCTTTTTAAGGCTCTCTGGCTGCAATGGCATGACTGATAAACTAAATCGTTGCTCACTTTGTATGTAGATAAGTCACAGAGGTGCAGTGTTTTATTAATTGACACAGCCTTGACCAGTGTAGCGTGGAAGAACTGGCCAAACTCTGCCACCAGGCGGCTCCACTGGTCCTGCAGGGCGTCATAGCAGAAGAAGCAGTCGAGTGAGGGGTTAAAGGAGTCTGTGATCTCCACCTCTGACCCCAGCGTATAGATTACACTGCCACAAGCACTGGCCTCAGGGTAGAAGATAGCAGTGGGAAGTGGACTGACAGAGCGCCAGGTTTGAGCCAAAGGGTTATAATACTCCACCTAAAATCCAACACCGCGCATGAATTAGATCAACACTGTTGGCCATGACTGATTCCATGACCTACTAATGGAAGCATATCCCAACCAACACTGTTACCTCCAGCAGACTGGGAGCCCCCCCTCTGGATCCCTTGGTCCGTCCTCCAATGACATACACTCGATCCAGGCACGTTACAGCTGTGTGCATGGTTCTGGGCTTAAGCATGGCAGGTGCAGGTGTGCAGGTTAAGGTCACGGGACAGAAGCACCAAACCTCATCAGTGGCATCATGGAAAGGTTCAGCCACGTGGAGGCGTATCGCCCGGCAGCAATTTCCCTGGCAACCACCTGTGACAAACATCTTCAATCCAGTAGATAGCAGAAAAGATGGTGATCAAAATCTTTAGTCAACAAGGACAAAGAGTAAGAAAAGATGTAAACAGCACCATATAACTATAAAGAATATTCACAAATTGACATTATTTCATTTGATGCTGTAAACCTTACCTTCTCAGCATAGCTGGTAAGGTAAGATCCTGGTGGATCTGGCATCATAGTTGTCCCCTCTTCTTGCCCTGTGCCCAGCTCTTTCCACTGGTCTGTTTCCAGACAGTAGCAGAAGGTGTGCCGGATCTCTCCATTTTCCTCTGTCTTGTGGATGTAGATATAACTCTGCGTGGTGGAAGGCCTGGCATCAGTGAGCAGGCCATTGTGCTTTGTCTGTCTGCTCTGGGCTTCTGACGCAAGGGCGAGACAGGACTCATCGTTGCAGAGGAGAGGGTCAGAATCACACAGAGACTAAGAGAGAATGTAAGAGTCAACACAGGAAAGGTGATGCGATCACAAATCCACAAACTGCAAAAAGTCTTTAAACCCAGTACAGGTAAAGGTTTGGTTGTACCTTTAGTGAAGGTGCAGGAAGATGGTGCAGCCGGGTCAGAGACAGCAATCCCGGCAACAGCTTCTGTCTTCCTGGGAGATCATGGCGAATCCATCCAAGGAGCGACACCACCACTGCCTCCTCACTGAGCACGTTTAGAGCATCTGACCTGAGGCACAACTCCAAGACATTAACCTGAAAAGAGTTACTTTTTTTTAATGTGATGTATTTGTCAGCTTAAAAACATGAAACAAAAAGATGTTTTGTTACTGATATAGAAGCAGATTTAATGAAATATATTGTGTATACAATGTTTTTTACATGTTGCAGAGGAACCATTAGCTTAACTATTGGGCTTATTAATGATAACAATACATACATAAAACAATAAGAGTTGCATATTATTTTTGCTTTAATGGATTTCAGAACTGTTATAACAATGAACCAAAATATCTCAATAATAATATGAAAAATCCCACCAAATATGCAAGAAATCCAACATCATTGGTGCTTTGAGCCTTAACTAGTTCTTAAGTCAGACATAATGAAGTGTTTAGCAACTGGATATAGAGAATAAATTACAACAGAGACTCTGATCAGCCTCCAGCCTTTCTCTGCATAGATGCAATGTTTAGGTGCAAGATTGGGTTTCACCTGCATATCCAGGAAGTCCTGCGTTTTGGAGAGTTCAAAGAAGTTCTGGACCACAAACTCATTGGCACTTTGCAGGAGAGAGGCTGAGCCGTATCCCTCAGCCAGAGACAAGAGAGACAGACAGTTATAAAGATCCATGGTTCCTATCAGGAAGTCGCTGCATGCTTTGGACAGGACAGACACCTGAAGGCACAACAGCAAGAGCAGGGAAATTTTCATGTTAAAATGACATTTGGCAACAAGAAGATAAATGCCTAGCTGACTGTCACAACTATAGATTTTTTCATTTTAAGTGTTTGGTCTTTAACTCTTTACCCCTTTAAAGCCTAATAGGAGTAAGACTTGAAGCTCCTTCTGAACTGAACTATTTCTGTTATATTTCAGACCTGCTTAAAGAACAAAATGCATCAGGGTTTGCAGCAGAGGTCAGTGAGAATGGTCTCTGCCTAGCCTCAGAAAAAACCTGAAACTATTCTAATGATCATCCAACCAAATCTTTATTGATAAATACCGAGGTGTCGAAACTTGTCTTTCAAGGGTACAGGGGAGGTCATCAAGTGTCATCTTTATGGGGGAAAGAGGTAACAAGGCATTCCAGACATCCTTCTCCTGAGGCAAACTTTTCAGTTTTCTCCAGTAGGATCCCGAGGTGCTCCCAAGCCAAGTGACAAATATAATTTCTCCAGCAGGTTCTGGGTCTACCCTGAGGTCTCTTCCCAGTGGGAAGCTTGGTTAGGAGGCATCCTAACCACATGCTCAAACCATTTCAACTCCTTTTGAAACGCAGGAGCAGCGGCTCCACTCAGAGATCCCTCCAGATGTCTGAACTCGTTGCCCTATCTGTAATGCTGAGCACAGCCACCGTGCAGAGGAAGCTCATTTTGGCCGCTTGTATTCATGATCTTACTCTTTCAGTGATTACTCAGCTCTCTCTTGACCCCAACAGTCTGGTACAATAACTATTAATAATAAGATTATTGATTTACTGCAGTATCCCAGGAAGTCATGGCAAAATGAACATGTTTAAGGGTAAGAAGGAAGATGAAGCAGTTGCATTTCTACCTGCAGAAAAGAGGCGAGCTGAAACAACATGTCTACGTTGCCATCAGTGATAAGCGCCTCCCCGGAGTAGGCAAAGTCCAGGAAAGAAGCCACCGCTGCTGGACACTGATTACCCAGCGTTACTGAACCATCATCACGCTCTCGCATATCCACCTCAAACATGGCCCTAAACCCAAACCCAAGACACATGTGTTTAGATAGATAGACAGATAGACAGATAGATAGATAGATAGATAGATAGATAGATAGATAGATAGATAGATAGATAGATAGATAGATACCTGAAAAAATCACTACATGCTGCAAGAACACAGCGATGACAGGGAAAGCTGCGTTCCTGCACCTTAATGGTGAAGTCAAACAGCAAGCCTCTCTCCCTGAGCGATCTGAGCACGCCCAGGAGCTGCAGTCCATGGGACTCAGACACCCGCAGCATTGTCCGGCGCTCTGAGACCCCGTTGCATTGTGGAGCACTGCCAGGTTTACTGCTGGGTGGGCTGTTGCTGCTGCAGGGGTTGTGGGTGTTGGTCAAACACAAGGACAAGTCATGATTTTCATCCATTACGCCAGAATCTGAAAAAAAAAAAAGAATAGAAAAATGATGCAATTTATAGTAATGGAGTGAGTCTGTGAGAGACACACACACACACACACAAAGGGAATAAGAGATACAAGAATGCAACAAACTAATTTACATGAACAGATCTGTAACACACAGTCCAGTCCTCCTCTACCATTAAGACATGCAGTAGTATCATTGTGTCTGACACTGAGTGTCTGACACGATTACTGCATTCAAGATAAGCACATTAGATATTACCTGAGGTGATGTCTGGACGTTAAAAGTCAAAAATATATGAGTATAAAATGCGTGAAATATGCAGCTAGTTAGTCTGAGGCAGGACAAGTAATACTCACGACAGTGTCAGCACCTCGGAGAGCTCTCATGCTATTCTAGTTTCCGGAAGCCTGAAATCACGCGAGATTTCAGTCGGCTTTTTGTTTGGTTTTTTGCGTTTAATCGTCTTCTTCCTGTCATCTTGTTTACTGAATTTGCGATTTTCCCTAAAAAGAATAATGCCCGTGTCTCCTTTATATCCCCCTCATTTATTTTCATTGTACTCTTTATTTATTGCAGAAAAATGCGGCGCAATGGTCGCTGGGAACTATAGTTCTCCCCTATTGGTCGGTTATTTCTGGCGAGTGTTCTGGTCAGCCTTTCTATTTGCTTTAGATACAAGTTTAGAACAGTTAACGTTCAGCAGTTATGCAGGTTAGCTTGCTTAGTTAACCATGGGTGCTTTCTCTGTTGCAAATGAAAACATATCTCAAACATATCAAGTAATTTTGAGTCACACGGAAAATTCCTATGGGCAGAACTTTACTCCTGTCTGCTTCTCATTGACACTATGTTGATGCAGTAATATTTCTTACCACTGGGTGACGCTGCCGTGCTGCGGAGAAATGATTATGGGGATGCATAGGACAACAGCCATTGAATCTGAATTAGAACGTGAACTTAAAGCGGTGCTGCAGTATCGTGTTGTTCTGGGAATCTATCCTACTTCACAAACCATCCTACCCGTTGTTTCTGCGCAAACGCTGCGCATGCGCGTAACACAACCCCCAAATTTACATCATTTTTTAACCCATTGTGAATATTTATGGTTAGGGTTTGTATTAGTCACAAGTCGCCGTCAAATTATAATACAGGTTGGACGATTTGCCAAAGTAGGACGGTTTCTCAAAACATCGTCTCACCACCACAGTGACATAAAAACACACTCTTGAAAACGCCTGAAAAACATGATTACAGAATAAGAGCTTTTGTAGACACAATTCAATTCTTCTTCTTCTTCTTCTTCCTCTTATTATTATTATTATTATTATTATTATTATTATTATTATTATTATTATGCTATTACTACATAAAACGTGGGCTCAATCATGGATAAAATGCAAATATACAGAAAAGCAAAAAAAGGGAAAAAAACAGTCATTATACTCTATATGCTTTATCCTCCTTCATCTTAATACAACAGACCATCCTATAAAAGTCAGAGACCGTCCCATTGTTGTGAAACTGGAGTGAAATCAGTGTAAACGGGCAGCACATACTAACGCCATTTACTGATTTCAGTTTTTACGAGACTGCACTGAATCGGTGTACATATTATCGGGCTATTATCAGAGCCTCTCCAGTTTATATTATTGGTGGGTCTGGCCCCCCTCCTCTGTCTCTTGCATCCCTGCATCCCTCCCTCTCTCCCCTCCCGGCAGTGCATCCCCATCCCCCACACTGTGGCCGTCTCTCCGGGTGAAAGCTGTCTTCCCAGCGCCACTGGCCCGACAAAACGCTGCTGTAGCAGAGCCAGTCCGCACCGACCCGAGGCAGCACACTCACACGGGAGAGAGCACGTACACATTCGGGGAATCTTTCCTTTTTTCCCTTCCGTGATCGACCGAGTAGCTTTGGTAAGTCTTTTATGCTTTTTATCACAAAGAGGAGAAATGTCTGTGTGTTTTCTTGATGCTTGTTCGGGGTTTTTTTTCCTATCTTTTTTTTCCCTCCGTATCCCTTTAATTGTCCTCCGTGGTGGCTACAGTGGGGAACTAGCGGGCTAAGCTAAAGCGGCTAGCTTAAACAGCGGACTTAAAGTGATACTACTTGAAGCATGTGTCAGGTTTTTTTTGTTGTTTTGTTTTTTCACTTTATTTGTCGTCCGCCAGGTAGTAGTGTTAGCAGCTGTTTTCCCAGTGCGTTGCGGGTCTGACCTGCTGCGAGTGGTTTTCATTGTCATTGCTAATTTTGCCCCGGCTAACTTGCTAATTAGCTTTTTTTTTTAAAGGGGGCAGCGTGTGCCGAGAGATGCAGGGATGCTACGGCGGGTTAGCGACTGGCTTTTCAGGCTAGCACGCAAGCTAAGCTAACGTTAGTAATATGTGACCCGTGCAGATTCCTGCACGGAGTGTTTCGGAATGGATGGATCGCCATGCTAACGCTGGCTAATCTAGTGATAATTGGCAAGATGGCATCTCGGAGTGGTTATCTAGAAATCGGTGGATTTTCAAAATGGTGTCTTAAGCTTGTTTGAGTGTGACCATTTTTGTCCAACCATCGCTGTTTTGGCTTTGCTTGCTATCTCTGGTATGCAGTGCACTGCCAGTGCATGCCACACTCTGACTGATATATCTACATATTAACCACTGATGTGAGGGTAAATACAAACGCCTCAAGGCTACAGCAGCCACTATGGAGAAAATGACTGTTTCTGGAGTTATATTTGTTAAGAGTTTGGCGCTGAATTTAGGGGAAGGAGACCAATGAGAGAAGTGGGAAAGGTCAAAATGGGTAGAAAAGGTTTACTCTGCATGTGCAAATGTTTGCACACTGGATTAAAGTGGCTAACTATATCAGTGCCCATCAACTCCTGTCTGGGTTCATAACAAATGTATACTTTATCTGAATGTCACTTACACCAGGACTTAGCTGCTGTGCACAGATATCCACTGCAACTAATGCTCGTTGTCATTATTTATTCATCTCAATTTTATTTAAATCTAATTGCTTTTCGTCGTATACAGTATAGGAAATCAGTGAACATGCCAGTTCCAAGTGCAGTGCTCAGGGTAACATATGCAAGCTGGATCATTTATTTATGCCTAATGCAACGAGCAGTGGCAGAAGTTAAAAAAGGCACTTTTTAAAAAACCTGATACTACAAGATGTGTGTTTAAATGGTGCATATCAGATAGGATTATTCCAAATGTTACAGGTAGTTATTTATTTATTTACCCTCCTGTTTTTGACTAGTCTTATCAGTGAAATGAATCCTTTTTGCCATCATCTCTTTTTCCCTTTTTTGTAGGCGGTGGGTGGGGGATTACTTGCTTTAGTCACTGACTACTAATCCCATTTAATTCAAGAAGCCTTATCTGTCTAAAGGGATTTGTGAGATGCTACTGTTGTTGGCTTCACCAGAGCATTACTGTGTAAGCAAACTATGTACATTTAAAATAATAGTCTACGATCGAGACTGGAAGATGCACACTGCTCTGTGGATGATAGACATTCAGTGATTCTAATAGGTGATACTTTCGTCCTGTTTGTAATTATGACATCTAGAAATGCTTCCCTTTGTGATTGGGGCGGGGCGGGGGGGACTGAAGACCCTAAATCTTATTAATATACAAACAAGGAAGTCTTTTTTTTAAAGGCTGACTTTATTTTTGTGACTCTAGATAAATCAAAAGGCATCCACTAGAACTGCATCCACCAGATGAAAGTATATTAACTTAAAGGTCAGTGGTTCTCTTTAGGAGCTCTACTCAGAAAATACTACATTTGTGGTTTTGTTTTTTCCTACTGGATGAGATCTAGTGTTGTTCCTATATGCTAAAGTTGATTCATCTGTCTACCTCGCTTGAGGAAGACGGTGGATGTCGTATGGCTTTTGGCATGTGTGGGGTGCAGGCTCATGTATATGAATGGCAGGCTGTACAATGCAGCCATAAAACCGTCAGACTGTTGAAAGCGGGAGTCACTTAATGTTACGACAGACAGCGGTTCTGTAACAGAGCTTTCCAGCACTTCATTCCCGTGTGGTTTGAACCACTTAGTGATTTGCTCATCACAGATCGGCGAATGAAGCACCGACAGACGGCAGCTTCCAGAGTCACCTTCATTTCCTGTGCCTCGTCCAGCTCCCGGTCCCTCAACTTCAACCTCCAGTAATGCTACTGTTCTTTTAGAGGTTAGCAGATGTAAACATTTCAATGGTTGGACCATCTTAGAAGAAATCAATGGTTAATAGTAATAATAAGGTTGCTGTACATAAAGATTCATTCAACTGCATTTTGGGGACTCTGAATATTTCTCTTGTATAGGAATCAATCAAGAGGGGTTATTTATTTTTTCAGTTGTTCATTTGGATAAAATCAACATTAGAAAAATATAATAAATGTGTCCCAGTGTTTTGCCAAACAGTCTAAAATCAAAAGATGTTTCACTGTATTATTAACCAAAGATGGCAGCAACACACACTGAGAAAAAGGGAGCTTTTGAACTTTTCCCTGAAAAGTAACATTGGTTATTACAGCATTATCAGACAAATTGGCCACTATTTTATTCCTGATTAACTATCAGTCAAAGCGATTAAGCAGCACTTAAAATAGACGTGCAAACCATTCGTAGGTCATACCTTCATGAAATCCACATGAAATGGTGATTAAGCACTGAAAATTATTTTTTGTTTTATTAAGTAAGGCCTTAATTAGACCACAGAGAAGATTTGTGGATGTAGTGAAGGAGGATATACAGATGGCTGGTGTGACAGAAGAGGATATTAAAGGGAGGGTGAAATGGAGGCAGATGATCCGCTGTGGCGACCCGTAAAGGGAGCAGCCAAAAGAAGAAGTAATGCTTTATTTAATTTAAAATTGTATTTTTCTACGTGTTGGTTTGAGATGACATTTAGCGCACCTGTACCATCGTGCTTCATAGTAATAAATTGGGAAACATTTCTCACCTTGCTGCCTGCGTGCATATTACAGTTTTGTTCTACATCAATATATTGTGGATTAAAGGGCAGATATGTTGTTGTCATTCTCCATCCCCCTTTATGAAGGCATGCTGGTGATTGTTGTAGTGCTATATCTGCTTTCATCTTAATCGGTTCAATAAATAATATATTCTAGATGTGTAATGAAATGCTACAGCCACAGTTCTGTTGTAGGATTACTAAAGTGTAGTGGTTATACCCCACTTTGGGAGTGAAAGGAGAGTCAGATCCCTGGAAGGGTTGTGTCAGGAAGGACGTCTGGCCTGAAAGCCTGTGCTAAATCAAATATGTGGATCCATCCTCTGTGGTGACCTCTTACCAGTAAGGGAACAGCTGAGAGAAGCTTGCCGTGTTAGATCCGTGACATTGCAGTGGCCTTTTCCCTATAAGTGAGAGGTGGTCGAGAAAAAAAGGCATTTTACAACAACATATTCTTTTGTTTTTGAGGTAGTTGCAACATATTGAAAGGGACTGACTGTTTTAGTTTTACTAAAACAGACACACCATCTCATGATACATTTGTGCACTGCAGCTGATTCACTTAAATAGTATTCAGTAATCAACTCCATAAATGTCTGTAAGAGATGTAGGCGTACTTTCCCAGTAGTTACTTGGTCCACTGATCTCGCTACAAGGCCTCTCAGCACCACTTGAATGACTCATTCTTCAGCTCTTATTCAGTTATTAACTGAAAATAAGGTTCTTAGATGTCCACTATTTAAAAAAAAAAAAAAAAAAGTGTTTTTATTTTAGAAAATGTATAGAGGTCTTACAAACATTGTTTGATGTTTTCATAAATGAACTAGTGGGATGATAGGAGGATAAGAAAACAAAGTGCTCTTATTTTCCCTGTACACAGATTCACACTGTGTAGCATCAGTCTACCACAATGGTTCAGTCAGATCGTCGTCTCTCTATGACAATTAAATTTTGATGTAAGTGTATGCATGCATGCATACAAACTGCGGCAGGTGAGAGATGTCAGAGGGAATAAAGCATCAGGATAAAAGGTTGGACACAGATCCCTGGAGGCAAAGTTGTAATGCATTCAGCTGTCAGTCGTATTGTGTGTACACATGCACAAATGGACATTCACATGCGTCTGTGCTGCAGGCTGGCTATTCATTAGTGATACCTACAGTCATTAGAAATTCTTTTTATGCTATTCTACTGTAGCAGCTTTTGAATTTAACCTATACAAAGAGTAGCTGTTTTATTATTAACATCTGACTGAAACTTAAGCACAGCCATACAACAGTTGTACAAAAAATCTTAACATTGTAGATGTGATAATGTTGAGTTTTTGTTGAATCTACTTTAAAGAGGCGTTGATTCAAATAAATGAGAATTTGGGTAGTTTGCAATATTTTTTTAATTGTTTTATCCACCCCTTTGTGTCGGCGAGACTTCGTAGTGCAGAGCTATTGTTGTAAGCGTCATTAGTTTTAGCTGAATCTATAGGGACAACATTTGATCTTTATTACTGAAATACAGTAGATGTCCTATAGTGACTGCTGAGAGTTTTTTGTGGTGTCAGTAGCCATTGTTGCACTGCATCACACTGCAGAACTGTAACAGAGTGGGTGTTATGAGCAGTCCGAAAGGAAAAAATATTGTATGAGGTGAAGTGAGGACATTTCTCTGGCTTTAAGTTGAGTGTATCTGGATCTTGACACTCTGTCAGGATACATGTGCTCCTGCTGCACATCGGTTTCTCGTATAATTATATTGGATTGGGACACACAGTGTTTTTGAATGACCCCACAAACTCTGTGGGTATGTACTCCTGTAAACAAGGGATAGACTGCACTTGGGCCACTTCTTAAATAGGTAAAGACAGATAGAAAAAAATGTAAAGCATAAAATTCATTATGGTTGATTGATTTTTAAAGTGGATTTTGTTTTACAGTCGTC